GAAGACACTTTGCAAAGTAATAAAAGGAGTCTAGAAGAAAACAGTTCAGAGGAAAACAATGTGGTTAGTAAAAGGGTTGTTAGGGAAGAATCCAAATTAATCATAAAGTTTAGAAAGGAGGATGAAGGAATTCAATTAAGTCCGTTAGTGCTGTCAAAAGAATTAAAGAGGAAGTTTGGAGAGCTGACACTTGCTAAGACTCTTAGAGACGGGAACCTGTTGATAACAGTGAGAAATGAAGAGCAGAAAAACAAAGTAATGAAAACTCAGAGTATCTGTAAAAAAGTAGTGAGTGAGATCAAGATTTTGGGAGAGACTAAGGTAGCTAGAGGAGTGATCACAGGTATTCCGGTGGGAGAAGATCTGGAGAAATTTAGACACAGCATTTATGGAGGTGAAGTCAGCAAAATTAGAAGATTGATGAGAACAGTTGAAGGTGAAAGAAAGGAAAGTGTATCAGTGATGTTGGAGTTTCAAGCAGCTGTTCTCCCTGAAAGGATAAAAGTAGGATGTATGTGCTTCCCTGTTAGGCCGTACATCCCTCCTCCTCTCAGGTGTTATAAATCCAGAGGTACGGACACATCGCAGCAGCATGTAGGGGGAAACAAAGATGTCCAAAGTGTGGAGGGGAACATAGATATGAGGCGTGTAAAAATGGAAATGATACTTGTTGTAACTGTGGAGGACAACACAGAGTAACTTATGGAGGCTGTGAAATCAGGAAAAGAGCAGTGGAAATCGAACAAGTCAAAGTCAATAATAATATAAGTTATGCAGAAGCTGTTCAGAGAGTGAAGAAGCCAAAAGAGGTGCCAGGTAAAGTTCAGCCAAAACCAACACCAGAACAAAGGCAGACTGGACCTGACACAGAACTGACAGTAGAAAAGATCATGTTGTTCAATGCATATGTTATTAATTGTACAGAGCAAGTAAAACACAAAACAGAAAAAAATCAAAATAATTGTGAAAGGGGCAGAGAGGTTTTTTGGTATAAAGGATATATCCTGGGAGCACATAAATAAGAGACTGGGAGCACATAAATAAGAGACTGGGAGCACATAAATAAGCGACTGGGAGCACATAAATAAGAAACTGGGAGCAGAAGGGAAGACAGGAGAACCAGAAGACAGAACAAACTGATCATCTTACAGTGGAACGCTAGAAGTCTAATATCAAATGTGCAGGAGTTTAAAGGATTTATCAAAGAATTCAAAGAACATATAGATATTATATGCATTCAGGAAACTTGGCTTAAACCAAACCTTGACTTTGTTATAAATGGATATGAAAACATTAGAAGAGACAGAGAGGGAGGATCTGGAGGAGGCTGTACAACATTCATTAAACAGGAGATTCAATTTAGTGTTTTGGCTAAAGGAAGAGAGCTAGAATATATTGTTATTGAAATCTGGACAATAAATGGACAATTTAAAATAATAAATTTTTATAATCCATGTAAAAAAACTTACATTAGACTTAATGGAGGAACTTGGGACATATTTAGAGGGTAAGGTGATTTGGTGTGGGGACTTTAATGGGCATAACTCATTATGGAGTAATCATAATGATCAAAATGGAGCTATAATAGAAGAAATAATGGATGCTACAAACTTGGTATGTTTGAATGATGGGAGTGGAACTAGAATTAATTTTAGAGATAATACAATATCAGCAATTGATTTCAGATTCTCTAGCAGGTGTTTGTTTAGGGCAAGTAATCAATAAAACAACTATAGGAAGTGATCATCACCCTATCATGACTGAAATAAAGTTATAAATAGAAAAGTATTGTATAAATGGGATGGAAAAATGGTGTTTTAGATCTGCAGATTGGGAAACTTATCAGAATAGTAGTGAAATAAAAATCCAAAATGTAGATATAAGTGGTAGTATTGACAACTTTAATTCTTCTATATGTAATGCTATCCTTGAAGCAGCCAATCAGGCTATAAGGAAGAAAGGAGGGAAAAGGGAAAGAAAGTTGGTACCCTGGTGGACAACAGAATGTACTAAAGCGATTAAGAACCGAAATAAAGCTTTCAAATTATTAAAAAGAAATCATAACTTTCAGAATCTGAATGAGTACAAGAAACTGCAAGCAAATGTAAGAAGAACTATTAAAACTGCAAAGAGAGATTATTGGAGAAGTTTTTGTAATTCAGTAGGGAGGGAGACGGACATTTCTAAGGTATGGACAATGATTAAAAGGATGAATGGGATTAAAAGAATGAATGGATACCCAATACTAAATGATGGAGAGTTAACAGCAGTGAAAGACAGAGAAAAGGCAGAAATGTTGGTAAATACTTTTGTTAAAATTCATAGTTCTGAAAATATTAGTGAAGAAGGGAAAAAAGGAAGAGAAAATACAATTTTAGAAAACAAAGAGGTATTGGAGCAAATAGAAAACACAAATGATTCACTGAACATGCTGTTTACAATAACAGAGCTGAATAGGGCACTTAAAAAATATAAATTGTCAGCTCCAGGAAAAGATCAGGTTTGTTACGCGATGCTAAGTAATTTAAGTAGATCATCTAAAAATATTCTATTAGAATTATATAACAGAGTATGGAAGGATGGGGAAATTCCAAAAAGTTGGAAGGAAGCAGTGATTGTACCAATTAGAAAACCAGGGAAAGATGAGTCAAAACCAGAAAATTATAGACCTATAGCATTAACATCTAACATATGTAAAATAATGGAGAAAATGATAAATGAAAGATTAATATATTATATGGAAAATAAAGGACATATGTCAAAGTATCAGAGTGGTTTCAGAAGAGGGAGAAGTACAATGGGCCCAGTTTTATGTTTAAAGCATGACATTAGAAAGGCTCGAGTGAATAAAGAGAGTGTAGTGGCAGTATTTTTTGATATAGAGCGAGCGTATGATATGATGTGGAGGGAAGGATTATTAATCAAAATTAGAAGAATGGGTATAAATGGTCATATGTTTAGATGGATTAAGACTTTTTTAGAAGGAAGACAAATACAAGTGAGAATAGGGAAGGATTATTCTGAGAGTTGTAATATAGAAAATGGGACACCACAGGGTAGTATAGTCAGTCCATTATTATTTTCAGTGATAGTTAATTATATGTATAAGGAAGTAGAGGGTGGAATGGGATTTTCACTTTTTGCTGATGATGGGGCAATGTGGAAAAGAGGAAAAAATCTAGAATTTATTATAAAGAAGCTTCAGGGAGCAATTTCAGTAGTAGAAAAATGGTCGTATAAATGGGGAATTAAATTTTCTGTAGATAAAACTAAAATAATGTTTTTTACAAGGAAAAGAGTTGATGAGAAAATCAAGCTAAAATTATATGGTAGTTGGAAAGAGTTAAAGAATTTAAATTTCTCGGGTTGTGGTTTGATGAAAGAATGACATGGGGTGTACACATTAAGAAAATAATAGATAAATGTAGGAAAGTGTTAAATATAATGAGGTTAGCTGGAACTGAGTGGGGAGCTGATAGAAATTCATTGACAGCCATTTATACTGGATTAATTAGGTCAGTCTTGGACTATGGGTGCATATGTTACAACTCAGCAGCAGATACAAACCTCAATAAGTTAAATAATATCCAATACCAGGCACTAAGAATATGTACAGGTGCTTTTAAAACGTCTTCAACAGCAGCATTACAGGTTGAAATGGGAGAAATGCCTCTTAAATTTAGAAGGGAACCGCTATCTTTGAACTACTGGACAAATTTACAAGGTCAAAGAAATGATCATCCAACATTAGAGGTGCTTAAATCAGGTTGGGAAAAAGAAAAAATCAAAAGCTTTGGGTGGATGATAAAAGCCAAAGTTAATGAAATCCATTTAGATCAACTAGATATATGTCAGAAAGTTCCATTACCAACAACACCACCTTGGGTACTCCCTGATGCTATAGTAGATTTTTCATTATTAGAAAAGAAAAACAAGAATAAATCTTTTATTATGGATAAATATACAGTACAGGAATACATTAACCAGTATTATAATTATGTACATATATACACAGACGCATCAAAAAATACAGCTAATAAAATTGGGATAGCATTCATTGTACCACAATTTCATATTAAAGTAGGAAAAAGTGTTAGTGATGGAGTATCAGTTTATACAGGAGAAATGCTCGCTTTACTTTTAGCAGTTCAGTGGGTAGAAGAGGTAAAACCATTAAAATCAATCATCTGCTCAGATTCTAGTTCATCATTGTCCAGTTTGCAACACAACCAGTCAGATAGTAGACCAGATATATTACTTGAAATACAACAAACACTCTATAGGATCAACATGATGGGGATTACAGTAAATTTTATATGGGTTCCAGCACATCACGGGGTTTTGGGGAATGAAAAGGCAGACAGGATGGCTAAGGAGAGCACTGGTCGGGACGTGGTTGATATTAATGTTGGGTTTAGTATAACAGAAATAAAGGGTATAATAAAACAAAAAATGAAAGAAAAGTGGCAAAAATTATGGGAGGAAGAAAGGACAGGCCGGTGGTTTTATAAAATCCAAAGGAAAATTGGAGAAAGGAGAAGAACCGAAAGAAACAGGAGAGAAGAAACGATTATTTCACGACTCAGAATTGGGCATACTGGACTGAACAGCACATTATGTTTAATAGGGAAACATCAGACAGGGACATGTGAGTGTGGAGAAGAGGAAACCATAGAACATATTATATTGCATTGCAGGAGATACCAGGTTCAAAGAAACAAGTTGATTAGACATCTTAATAAAATGAAAATGAAATTAGACATTATTGATTTATTGCAGAAAGATTCAGGAAACAGAGGCTATCAAGCTATATTTTATTATTTAAAACGGTGTAGGTTGTATGATAAGATCTAAAAGGAAAGAGAGGGTTTAGTATTATTATTATTTATTTATTTTTTTGTCATGCGGTCCACACTCCTTACCAGTTGGTGGCGGTAATGCTTCCTTCAGTTGTTTGCCAACAGCCAATAAAACAAGAAGAAGAAGAAGAAGAAGAAAAAGGAGGACTTCGCTGAAGCAACGCTTATGTTTGGTAAAAGCAGCTCAGCCTGAACTTAGTCTTGGTTATCTGTGCCTGTTAATGTTTGTTTGTTTATTTACCTGCCTCCAGAGTGGAACTCCCTGAGCCTCCTGAGAAACACTCCCCTGAGATCTGAGAACTACTCACCTGAGACCATCTGCACGCTGCCTGTCTGCCTCCTCCACAAACCTGTAAATATTCACCTGTACACCTGCACCTGTAAATACACCTGGAACCTCACCTTCAGAGCTGAAGACTCTGCACCCACCTGTAAGAAGGCATTACACTCCCAACTTACCTGACGAATCTGCTCCACAGAAAACTAATCCTCGTTCTTACCACTTTCAGATCCCGACCCCATCCTTCCCTGGTTTAAATAAACATTTTATTATAAACTTTTCTGAGCCTGCTGTTGTTCTGGGTTTACCCACATTGACCTCGTTTAAAACCTGATAACATCGGGCCGAATGCGTCCCCACGAAGACAGAAGGTAAGGAAAAGGAACAGAAACACATTCAAGAAGCTCTTCAAACATGTGGATATCCTAACTGGGCTTTTGTCAAGTCAGCGAGGAAATCTACAAAACACACCAATAAACAGAAAAAGGAGAACAACAGACGGGAAAAACATTGTCATCCCTTATGTTGCTGGAGTATCAGAGAAATTCAGAAGGATCTTCAACAAACACAAGTTCCCAGTACATTTCAAACCCAGCAGGACTCTCAGACAGAGGCTGGTCCACCCTAAGGACAAAACACCCATACACAAACAGAGTGGTGTAGTGTATGCGGTCCAGTGCAGCGAGGACTGTCCAGACCTCTACATTGGAGAAACTAAACAGCCTCTTCACAGACGCATGGCACAACACAGGAGAGCCAGCTCCACAGGACAAGACTCAGCTGTTCACCTCCACCTCACAGATAAGGGACACTCTTTTGAGGACCAAAATGTGCACATTTTGGACCGAGAACACAGATGGTTTGAGAGGGGGGGTGAAGGAAGCAATTTATGTAAAAAGAGAAAAGCCATCTCTTAACAGAGGAGGAGGCCTCAGATTTCCACTTTCAAAAACCTGTAATGCAACTTTAAAACTGATTCCCAGCCGGTTTTCACACCTGAAGGGAACAGAGGGGCCTCGTCAGTGAATTAGAGGAACAAAAGACTCTTACTGTTAATGTTGTCTAGGTGTGAATTGCCAATCTACATATGTGTGTGTGTGTGTGTGTGTCTTATCTCACTCAGCCTTATAACCTGAATCTCTCACTCTCTGCTCTTTGAATTGAGAAAGCTCCTCGGATGAGGAGCGAAACGTCTTCTGTTACAAATAAAGTCCAGTTGTTTTTGTATTGAATGCTTTTTGAATATAAGTTGAGTACAACCAAATCTACATGGTAAAAGGTGTCACTAATGACGCAGCCTGGTAACCATGACAATGCATTCAGCAGCAATGCAGTTAGTAGAGATGCAGGCGACACTGGACCTCTACTAGCTTGTGTTTCAGCACTTTGACCTAAATGATGGGGGGACTGGGTGGTCCTCTCACATCCCAGCCCGCTCTCACACTTTATGGCGTGATGTGCTACAAAAACTTTATTTCATGTTGCCTCTTCTGTTTGCTGGTTTTAACAATTTCAAATATATTTCATATAATCCAATTATACACTGAAAGGCTCAGATTTTAACCAACTTTTGTAATAATTATGTAAAATTTAAGTACCCACAGCATAACAATGTACATTAAAACCATCTTTCACCTAAGGAAATGTTTTTATTATATTTAGGTTTAATTTCTTTAAACGCTTTTGCATACATATATATTTACACAGTTTAAAAACAGCTTAGAAAACAAACGTGTTTTGGACTTGAATTTAAGATAAAGTTGATTATCATTCCCATCATTATGAAAACATTTGGAAAAAATAAAAAGAATCATAGTTTCAGTTAATCTTTCAAAATAATAGTTATTTACACCTGTACATGTTCATATGCTCCTACATATAAATGTATTTGCGTGGCACCATGTGTGTTGTTCATGGTGACTCTATGACTGATCAATATTGTGCTAAATAATGTTTGGCAGAACACTCTTCAAAAATGGCCAGGCTATTGCTTTAATAATAAGACATGAAGCAGCAGGAAAAACTAAAGCAGGTACAGTTGAAGATAAACTAAAAATATTCAAAAGTCCTCGAAATTCCTTCATCCTAAAACTGTATTAATTTATTTGTAACAAAGTGTCAGTGTTTATTTTTTCTAAACAGAATTCACATTTTTTTGTCAAAATAAATATTGATGCATTCTCAGTTGTAACCAGCAGAGGGAGACATTCAACATGTTCAACATCAGCAGAGCCACAGCTGGTTTCTTGACTGTCTGACTGAGGAAACAAATAATATTGATACATTGAAATATTTGCTACATATACAGTGTGTTACATGAAGACAACACAACTTTGACTGAAGAGCTGGAAGCTGTCTTCAACAAACATCCACAGACTGCTGATACTGATCAGGTTTGTTCACTTCAGGCAATTCAAAGGTAAATGTGTTTATTTTTTTTAGCCCTGCAGTTTAAAACTGTTGGAAAAAAGAACTACACTCCTAATACATCTCAAATTTCCATAAAGTTTGTTTCCAAAGAGTCATAATTTAATGCAATCTTTGATCAAGAGTTCTTCAGGCTTTCAAAGTTTTCCTTTGAACTTTGGCCACTTCTTCTCTCTTTTTGCCCAAACAAATGAAAGAAAAGTTGTTAGAGTGCAGTGAACCACTTCCTGATCGAATGCATCTTTTCAGGTGAAGAACCTGAAATCGTCAGTGAAGTGGGTAAAAACCAGTGCTGCCTCGGCCTTTTTCTCTAGATCAACCAGCTGGTGGAGTTTTGTTTGGGGGGTGGGGGGATGTGTTATAACTCCAAAAATAGAGAAGCATACACACCACACGTGCACACACACATACCGTAATTTCTGGACTATAAGTCACTACTTTTTTCACACACTTTGAACACCACGGCATATTTAATGCTACGGCTAATTTATGAATTTTTTTCTTGATGGGCTAATGAGCTTCATGCCACTAAAACATTTAGCTTCGTCACACCCTGGGGCTCACATAGCTGCCCAGTACACATCTCTCTTGGGGGGTGGGGGGGAGCAATCAATGACTTCCTGGTAGACTACTGTTTTTTTTTTTATCAGCTGTGTTACAGGCACTGTTCAGAAAAAGCAAACATTTAATGTATTTGTGCATGTTACCGGTACATATTTAAGTAAAAGTTAAAAAAATATATTTCTGTGTAAATATCTCATGTTACAACATGAGCACCTGCAGCTTATAGACAAGTGCGGCCTATTTATGTAAAGGTTTGTTTTTTTTTTTACTTTATTTTTAGCGTGCACTGCTTATATTCAGGTGTGCTCAATAGTCCAGAAATTACAGTGTATGGTACTAGACTTCTTAACAAACAGACCACAGTTAGTGAGGATCCACAACTTCTCCTCTTCCACCATAACCCTCAGCACTGGCTCTCTTCAGGGATGTGTGCTGAGCTCCCTCCTGTTTACTCTGCTCACGTATGATTGTGCAGCTACCCATCAGCACTTTGTTTGGCTTTGTAGCTGTTTTAAGTGCTTTATAAATAAAGTGGTATGGTATGGTATCCAGGCTGTCACATTGTAAAGTTTACAGATGATACAGTGGTGGTGGGATGCATCCCAAACAATGATGAGTCCAGCTACAGGCAGGAGGTGGAACACCTGGAGAGCTGGTGCGAAGAGAATAACCTTTGTAAGGGTTTTATTATGTTATCATTTTAAACTGTTTCATGATTTCTGCACTTCTGTGCATATGAAGCAAAGAAGATTCTGGAAAAACAGTCCACGTCCGAGCTGATAGTAATTCTCTGTACTTACACAAGCTGTTTTGTAAAACCAGAAATATCAAGGTTTATACATATCAACTCATATTTCATCAATCTTACACTGTCATTGTTTCTCTTACCTTTAACTGATACAAATGGTATCAGAAACTCATTACAGTAAACATTTAATCAAAATGTTCTAAGATCACCTTGCCCTCGTTTTGTAATCTGCCTAATCAAAATGTCCAGTTTTTTCCTTCTTCCTGTGTGAACAATAAAAGACGAGCAGATGTGGAAAACCTTTGGAGTTCACAGTGAGCAGCATTAGAGGTTGTGACACTGTGAATTTCCCTTTTTGCAAAAAGCTCGGTTGAAAATCTTACCCTGTTGTCCTGTGTGGTTCTTTATATTTCTAGGTACGAGAAATACTTAACAACCTTCACATCAATGTGATAAAGACAAAAGCAATGATTGTGGACTTCAGAAGGAACAAACACACCTACACCCCCCTGAACATAAGAGGATCTGCAGTGGAAGTGGTCTCCAGCTACAAGTACTTGGGTGTACACATGAATGACAACTTCAGCTGGAGCAACAACACCACCAGCCTGATCAAGAAAGCTCATCAGAGACTCTACTTCCTCAGGCGGCTGAGGCGAGCTGGTCTGGGAAGCTCAGTCCTCACCTCCTTCTACAGGTGTGCAGTGGAGAGCATCCTGTGTTCCAGCATCAACATGTGGCATGGAGGCTGCACAGCTGCAGAAAGAAAAGCTTTGCAGAGAGTGGTGAAGGTTGCACAGAAGATGTTGGAGTCAGTCTCCCCACCAACACAGACATCTACACCTCCAGATAGGTTAGGTTAGGTTAGGTTAGGTTAGGTTACTTTATTTATACCCAAGGGTAGATTTGGTTTGCAGTGGTACAGAGCATAAGCATACGTCCATGCGTACACACAATGTTAAAAGTAAGAACACCTCAAATAAACCAAGGAAGAGGGCCACCTGCATCATGAAGGACCCCACTCACCCAGCACACACACTTATTGCCCCACTCCCTTCAGGAAGGAGGTTGAGGAGCATTAAGTGCAGAACCACTAGACTGAGGAACAGCTTCTACCCTGAGGCTGTTATACTCATGAATCTCTAACCAGAATAATCACTGTTGAAAATCACATCATGTTGCTGCTGATCTGTTTCATATTGCTGCTGATCTGTTTCATATTGCTGCTGAGCTGTTTCATGTTGATGTGTTCATGCGTGCTCATCTACTCACACAGACTCATGTTCGTGCTGCTGTTTGACGTAATGTTTTTATGCTATTAGTGCTTAGTGTATTTTTAGTTGATGTTTTTCTTAGTTCATATCCATCCATCCATTATCTTTTACCCACTTCTTCCATTTTGGGTCACGGGGGTCGCTGGTGCCCATGTCCAGCAATCACAGTGCGAGGGGCGGGGGACACCCTGGACAGGTCTTCAGTCCATCACAGGGACACAGAGACAAATGAGACAAACAACCATTCA